TCTGCTGGCACCAACACCTCTCTCCCGGCCTCCTTCATCGCTCCCATCCCATCTGCAGGCTTCAGATTCAAACCTCAGCCTGACCAAGGCTCTCACAGCCGGGATATCATCAGCCTTTCCCTGCTGACACCGAGAGCACCTGTGGCTTTTCATCCTGCCCCGTGGCACTGGGGAGGAAATTAAAAGGGTGATAAGGGAGCTCTTTCGGCAGACGAAGGAGTATTCTGTGCTATCGGTGAGATAAACTAATATTTCTTCCAAGCCCTGGCGAAGGCTCAGAAATGAGATGTGGGGTGAAACTGTACATTTTATAGAGCTTTTATAACTCTTCCCAGCTGCTCCTGGGCTGGGGGATAACCATCGCCCTCGCTCGCGTTTCCTCAGGGAGGGAGGTCAGCGCTGCGGGGTGAAGGGAGAGATGGAGTCTAGAGAGAGGAGAAGCAGGGTCAGCTCCGGTGTTTCAGGGTCATTTTATGGCTTTGCTGGACCAGTTCACCTGCAGGGTGATGGCTGCTGCCTTGGGGTGCCTTCCTACCACCACCCCGGAGAGATGAGCCAGCACAATCTCACCAGCTCCACAACCTCTCCGTGCCTGAGGGTTGTCACAGGGAAATGCTGTGACATCCCATGTGGCTGGTTTGATCCATCCACGTACCATCCCCTGGCCCCAGAGCAGGTGACTGGTCACCACACGATGCTTCCCTATAGACATAGGGTGGGTGGGTGATGCCCACCAGGAAGGGGGTACACAACAGAGCCCAGCTCATGGCCACAGCCCAGCCTCCCCCCTGGCAAAGGACCCCCAATTTCCTGGCCCCATGGCTGTAGGGAATTTGCACGTCCCCCCCCAGTGCACCCCGAGTTGTGAGTGTGGTGCAGCACCCCAGAAAGGGCCACCACACCCTGTCCCCCAGAGCCAGCGCTGTGCACAGGACCCAGCTCAGTCCGGACCCACCTTGGTCTGGGGGTCCCCGACCTTCACAGGTGGGATCCAGTGGGAAGAAGAAGGGGAGCAGAGATGTCCCACGTGTGGAAAGAGCGTGGCACCTCCTCCAGCTCTGTAAAATCGTGTTTTTCATAGAATCATAGAATGGTTTGGGTTGGAAGGGACCTCAAAGATCATCCAGTTCCAACCCCCCTGCCCTGGGCAGGGACACCTCCCACTAGAGCGGGTTGCTCAAGGCCCCATCCAGCCTGGTCTTGAACCCCTCCAGTGATGGGGCAGCCACAACTTCCCTGGGCAACCTGTTCCAGTGTCTCACCACCCTCATAGTAAAAAATTTCTTCCTGAGATCTAATCTGAATCTTTTTTCTTCCAATTTAAAACTGTTTCCCCTTGTCCTATCATTACCCTTCCTGGCAAAGAGTCCCTCCCCAGCTCTTCTATAGGCACCCTTCAGGTATTGGAAGGGGCTCTAAGGTCTCCCCAGAGCCTTCTCTTCTCCAGGCTGAACAACCCCAGCTCCCTCAGCCTGTCTTCATAAGAGAGGTGCTCCATCCCTTTGAGCATCTTCGTGGCCCTCCGTTGCACCTGTTCCAGCAGGTTTCACCCCGTTACCCTCCTCCCAGCTGCGTGGGTGAGGGTGGGATGCTGAGGGATGCACAAGATGCCCCAGCTGAGCCCAGTGCCCAAATCCAGCATCCAGCCCCTGTCCTGCTCCCCGGGACACCTGCATGACTGTAGGAATGTCCCAAAGCATCGCACGCCGAGTTCCAAAATCCCCAGAAAAAAGGCAAATGAACGATCGAAGGTTCCTTTGTGCCTTCAGGGATGCCAAGGGGAGGCTCCTGGCCCCGCACAGGGCAGCTGTGAGGCCTCCCGTCCCGCTTGGAGGAGGCTGAAAAGGAGAAGGAACCCTCCCGTGCTGGTGACTGCCACGAGCAAAGCGACTACCGGCTGCTCAGGAGCAAAGCCTGGAGCAGATGCTCTCGCTGCATTAAAAGAAAAGGTATTTCTCTCTCAAACAAAAGGAAAATCAGAGTTAGAGGCACCTCCTCAGGCAGCCCGGGTGTGCACGGTGAGGAGCACCGTGAGGTTCTCGAGGAACCATCAACTGGGGACAGAGCAGCTCAGCTTCAGGGCAAAATATTAACATTAAAATTGTCGTATCCTTTGTAAATGAAGCATCTCAACAAACTGCTGTCCCCAGTCGAGTGGTGTCGGCAGAGTGGCCAAGGAGGCTTTGACCAACATGCATGATGACACCAGAGCCCCCAGCTCCATGTGAGCCGGGTCCCACCAACGATTGGGGAATTCATAGAATCATGGAATGGTTTGGGTGGGAAGGGACCTTAAAGATCATCTTGTTTCAACCCCCTGCCCTGGGCAGGGACACCTCCCACCAGCCCAGGTTGCTCCAAGCCCCATCCAGCCTGGCCTTGAACCCCTCCAGGGATGGGGCAGCCACAGCTTCTCTGGGCAACCTGGGCCAGGTTCTCACCACCCTCAGAGTGAAAAATTCCTCTTAAAACAGAGCGCCCTTCTCCAGCTCATCCTCACCTGTGAAAATGTGGTGGGGCATTAAAGATTAATATTTAATTTGCAGTTCTTTGCACAGCAAAGCAGAGCCTGGGGGTCACCTGGGACTCTGTGCCAGCTGCTGATGTTCAGCCTCTGCCCGTGTCCCCCAGGTGCAAATCCCCTCTGCCCCCAGGACCAACATCCTGTGACCCCACACCCCACCGAAACCACGGGTGTTCCCCACCCTCAACCCCAGGAAAATAACGAATTCCAGGGAAGTTACATTCAGAGATTAGATTTCTCTGGGGGTTTTCCACTGCTCACCTTCAATTAAAGCATATTATTCTCATTATAATGTTTAATTACACAATATTGGAGTGTATTATTATAATTAGCATTAGCCCGTAGTTAAATGGTCTCGACGTGTGAGGGCACGCGGGTGTCTTCAAGGGTCCCACTCGCTTTCCCCAACAGCTCTGGCTGTTCCTGCCCACACCCTTTGCAATTCTGGTGGCAAAACCCGTTTCTCATCCAACAAAACCAATTTACAGTGTTTTATTGTCCCCAAGCTGCTGAATGTGGATGGTTTTGGGGGATCTCACCTTCTCCACCAGCAACAAAATGGCCCAGAGAGAGGGGGTGACAGCAAGATTTCCAGGATCTGAAGGGGACCTACAAGAAAGCTGGGGAGAGACTTCTTACAAGGGCACGTAGCGATAGGACGAGGGGTAACGGCCTCAAACTGGAAGAGGGGGGATTGAGATGGGATCTGGGGAAGGAATTCTTTGGTGTGAGGGTGGTGAGAGCCTGGCCCAGGTTGCCCAGAGAAGCTGTGGCTGCCCCATCCCTGGAGGGGTTCAAGGGCAGGTTGGAGGGGGCTTGGAGCAACCTGGTGTGGTGGGAGGTGTCCCTGCCCAGGGCAGGGGGTGGGACTGGATGATCTTTAAGGTCCCTTCCAACCCAAACCATTCTATGATTCTAAGCCCGGAGCTCAGTTCGGGCTGGGATGAAGCAGGGTGAGGCTGAATCCAGTGGGAACATCCACAGAATGGGTAAAAACCACCTGGGAGCCCACAAGGTGCCAGGGGGATGGGGATGGGAACGGGGACAGGGATGGGAATGGCCAACCTGTGAGGGTCTCCAGCCACGGGGGCTGCAGCGTTGGAAGGTGGGAGCTGCTCCGGCCCAAAGGGACCCACAGATGAGGATGATGAGGGCACCGTTGGGGCTCTACAGGTGATGAAGGCTCCTGGTGGGTGGGTGAGTGATGGGAGAGTGTGTGTGGCTGTGGCCAAACCCCCCCCAGCTCCCCCCATCCCCGGGTGGCATCGGGCCGGGCTTTTCCTTCCCTTTATGAATATTTTTATGAGCTATCGACTGGCAGTGACTCAGACTGTGGCTTTTTCCCCCAATGCAGCGGGTTAAGGTTGAGGGCAGGTGGTGGCAGCGCTTTGTCACACCGCAGCCCCCAGCCAGGACCTGGTACCCGCCCCCGCAGGGACCCCCTGGTGACTCGC